GACAGCAGCTCGCAGCACATCGATAACCTTCAGAGAGAGAGCGACATCATCACCTTCACAGCTGTCCATCTCTCGCGCACTACACTCCGACAGCAACTCCACCACGGCACGGCAACCACTCCACCACGCGCGCCACAAGTTTCTTCTCACCGCTCAGACCTGCCGGGCCACGAAGCTCACGGCCAGATTTGCTCCCATCATGCCGCTGCTGCAACTCCTCCTACGCCGTGACAAACTCTCCTCCCGCGCCGTTGAGACATGACACCGCGAGCTCACGCCGTGAAACAGGTGCAGCGCCGCGCCACTTCAATCCTCCACGCCGCGAGACAAGCTTCACACCGCGGAACCCGCTCCCGTCGCGCCGCGGTGAACCTTCACGCCGCGGCACCCTGCAAATCTTCTCGCCGCGCCCAGATTTCAAGGCCGCGGCCGCGAGCTCTCCTTCACCGCGGCCGCGGCGAGAAAACGGACCTCAGCGACCAGAACTTCAGAGCTGAAAACTAGCGGCCTCGGGACGATTCGCGGCCGCAGAGGTGATCTTCACCGCGGCCCGCGGGCCTCTCCGCGGCCTCGAGTTGCGCGTTAGCAGATTTTTAAACCTGTTTTTGAGAACTCGTAAAGACATTATTCAGCCTAGGTTTTGAATATATTTTCTGGTTCCTTAGCTTCCAAACATTTTTTTTTTTTTTACTTTTGTTTTTATAATTTTGCACGTAGAACACGGATTGGAATTTGGATTTTGCTATTTCTTCGGATTAATCTTGTTTACCGGATTATCATCCAGTTTCCATTAATCGTAAGTTTTTCGTTATATCTAATCCATGGATTTATTCGTTTCGATTATGGATGATTGTGTTGATTATTCGATCATGAGTAGCTAAATCATTATGCTAGGGATAGGGGATTGACGTTTTGATCTCGATTGTGATTGTGGGTATTAATGATTGATCATCTTATGCGAGTCGAGCTTTTGATAGGGATTTTCAATTATCATATTTGAATATTGAGGATTATTGAAGGGTGACACTTCAATTTCCAATTGATTTCAATTGAGTTCGATTTATTCTTGTTTGATGTTGGTTACTCTAATTGATTAGTCGCTTAATCACCCTCTAGTCTATATTAATCAGCCTTTTGAACCGAAAGAGGAGGAGTCGATCGAAATAGGCTCGCATAAGCTAGGCTTGTTCGTAACTGTATTGCCTAGGAGTTAAATGAATTGTTAATTTGCCGTTCTAGTTTGTTCTCTTGTTACAAAAAGTTATTGAGAATGAATACTTGAACGTGTCGGTTATTCAAATCACTTAGCTGAACAATCACTTGCCCATTAATTACAATTCGAGTCAAACCGGATATCCTCGACTCTCTAGCTTCTCAAATCCTTATTGTTCTTTGTTGCTTTGCTACTGTTATTGCTTTATTTAATTATTTGCAGTAGTTGATAATGAAAAACAACCAAACTCTGAATTAGAATGTTTAGGATTTTTATTTCTCTTTCGTGTGACTGAATAAACGCGCATTATATTCCGGCTGACCTTTCTCGAGAGACACGACCCGGTGATCGAATCTTTCGATTCTACTCCAGAAAATATTTACAACAGAGAAGACCACCATACAAAAAAATGATGAAAAATAGCACTCCTCCAACCTCGCTCGATCCTCGGTAAGGAGGGTTTCGAGAACAAATGAAACTTCAAGGGTGTGGGATTTTCACTGGGTTTCGAGAACAAATGAAACTTCAAGGGTGTGGGATTTTCACTGGTGGTGTCGAAGGCGGGTGTTGAGCGGGTTGGTGAAGGTCGTGGAACTCAA